ACACACAATTGCGCTGAAAAAGTTTCTGGTCTGGATGTTTAAAGATATTGTACTGTGTAAGTCCGCAATTTACGGTAAGAAACTGCAAGGGAATACAATATAAAACGCGGCATTACTGTCTTCAAGTATAAATTACAAGCACTGAGATATTTCTTTACTTGGAGATAGTGATACAGGGTTCTACTTCTGTAAACTCAACTCGTACAATATCTAAACGAAAAAAAAACGTTCTTTAAAGTCTGCTTTTTAACTGTGTGTGATTACTTGATATATATGCTATTACTCTCCCATAGCACATATCAATATTGAAACACCATGCAGGAAAAAAAATTTTAACTAAAACTTGATTTGGAAAATATAAATTTTAATCCTTCAAGTTTGTGCAAATAACTGAATTGCATTATGTGTATGAAATTATTGTAATTAAAAGCGATATAGCACTATAAAGATATAGGGATCTGCTCAAGGTGTTTTAAAGATTTGAACCTCAGTCGTGTAGGTCCACAACTAGTACCGAAAGATCTGACCTTTAAGCAAAAAGGGACCATGAGATCACTAAAGACAAGATTTCAATAGGTAAACTCGACCCAAAATTTATCTAACGTATAATTACTACCAAAGAAACATAAATTTATATTACAACATGCGACTCAAGGATCAGGCAAGTGATTGGCGTTCACCAAACCAAGTAAATGCCACGGTCACAATTTTTATAACTTATAAGTGTTGTGTATCATGAATATTATGAATAAAGAAAATCAAAAGCTCAACAAAAGTTATTATTTGAGCATTATAGGACATTTGCGAAAAGCAATCCGCTAAAAAAGCCGAATTTGTGAGCAAAGAACTTTTGGAATTTGCACCACAATGACACAACTTCGTTCATATAACAGTCACCAAATTTTCCAAATTTGATTCCCTTTGATATCTTGCTGTTTGAACAACTCAAGAATCAAATTGGATCAAGCATAAGGCGCTTTGATCAATAGAAATAACTTTTAAAGGTACTGTCCTCCTTAAAAGTTCAACTCGATTATTAAGAGCATAGTTGTATTCCGTTGTTTCAAGTTCTTTATCTTAGTGGTATTATATCAACCATTTTATCTATAAACAAAAGGAGCTTATTAAGGAAATTCTCAATGTTATATAACTTCAATAAAATCCTTGACATAAAAAGTTTCTTAATACTAATTATGAAAATGGTAAGACTTTACTACTATTTCTCAGCTGAATAGTATATACACATATATCGTATAACTCACAAGAAATTAATTTGAGAACTTCATCATTCAACATAAAACACAGCATCGTGTAGTTCTTAACATCAACCACCTATTTTCATCAGCTAAAAATTAATCAGATCACGTACGGTTGTGATTTGGGACAGCACCTGTCTATCCAGCTGCCTGTCCGCCTTTCTCTCTAACTGTCTGTGAGCTTATCAAAAAGCTAATTTTACGACACATACCAAATAACGAACGGCACAAATAACACATGAGTAGCTTTTTAAGAAGATTGGCATAAAAAGTGAAACCATGTAATGACGCCTTCCATTTACACCACAGCGAAAACCTGTCGTAAACCACATAAATCCGTTGTTGGCTTGCTAGTTGGCTAGTTTGCTGGATGATTCACATTACACGGGTAAAGAATAAAATAGACAAACAATTTTCTACGAATTATATGGGTTCTGTACATTCATGAGCACATAAGTGTGTGCTCCCCGCAAGCACATGCCCATATATATTTCAAGTAAATAAATTACGTATACGCCACTGTGTTCCTATTTACCAACAAAATAGATAAAAATGCAAGGAAAGTGTTGGAAAAATTATAACGAAATCGGAAGCAGCGAAGCAAATGTGACTTGAGAAGCCAAAAGCCTAGCCAAACACAGCCAATAAAACTGATTTACAATAACAACAAGCAGCAAGCAACAAACAACAAACAGCTTCAACACATCGGACAATATAAATTCCTATTCCTATTTTATGATTTGCAGTTAGAGAAGTTACAAAGACCGCAAAACTCCTTAGGGAATTTACTCCAACAAAAGCAACAACAATAAACAAAGCACATCAAATTGCAGTCACAAGTACACAGACTTGTTCATTTCTTGTTCGGATTGCTTGCTTATCTGTAAATTCCTTTGATATTGTGTGGGTGTCAGTCTTCCTTGTGTACTGTTGCTGGTTCATCACAGTGACAACGACTTTAGTGTGCATCAGTTAAACTTTTGTTTTTGTTAGAAATCTTTGAGCAGGACGTGATGCGCTAACTAGCCACATCTGCACGTCAGATTCTAACTGGAAATTGAATTTCCTCAATTACAGATTACAACGTTTACTTATCCTCAATCATCGTTTTTTTATGGTTTCTGTCACAACACCCAAGTGTGTGCAGAATACAAGTAACCATGCTTTCATTTTTGCACAGATTCTGAACAAATAGCTAGAAACTTTAAACAAAACCCAAAAAAAATTAGGATTTAAGAAAAACCAGAAAACACAATTTGAAACTAATAGAATATATTAGCTTGTCCACTTCCAGAGAGAACGAAATGGAAAATAATTTTCTTTCGAAATTTTGGTACATAAAACAAAACTAAATATCCAACCTCACGTCATTTTCTCAACCACATCTACTAAACTATTTGATAAAGAGATAGACTTAAATTATATTTCATCAGTTTTAATTTGGTGTCCACACCTATATTCACTAATTAAAACTGGAGCCCCGTTACCAACATAGTAAATCGACAAATTAAAGAGATTTTTATTAAATTCAGTAGTATGCTACTGATGAAGACCATAATTCATCAGGTACTGTAAATGAATATAATGTGAGAAGGCTGCAGCTATGTAAAGTAATTAACTCTAATCTTATATGAGTATAAGATATATCTTATCTTATACCTTATCTTATATCACTTCTAATCGAGAGTTTTTAAACTCACCCAATAGCCGCTTTAATCACATTTTACTCCAGACATGCTCAAATACAAGTAATCTATTCATAGAAATAATAATATTGAAAGTGAAATATTCTTATTAATCATCCGTTAAGTTACATTATTAAAGTATACTAATAAGGTATACAAAAGGACTGCGGTAGTCAACATACAGGCAACGCCAAAAGGCAGGATTCCCTCATTCAAGTGAAGTTGAACCAATATACAACCTTGACTAAGTTCTTAATTTGCAAAATCACAGCTCTATCAGGTTGATAAGAAAATAGAATATTTTTAATCTTCTATTAGCGAAAGATGAACATTGGCAATGAAGCTAAAACATGGATCTCTGATTCTCTTCAGAGCCGCTAACTACTACATTTTATGTCCAATTTGATTCAAGTTTATCTAGAAATCAGACAGGTTTTTTTATCTACCAAAGTTTTGTACTCCTACAAACAACTAATAATTATTACGCAAGACCGTGCATATGTAAAAGAACCTAAACTGAAACAGCGGTATATCAGCTTCCTTCCCTTTATTTTCACTTCTGTAGCATCGTTCCTCCTCGTTTCATTTCCTGATATGCTCATATTTCCAGCTGGTATTTGCAAAAGACCTCGCTAGAAACATTCTTCATAATTGGTTGTATATAAATATGCAATGGTATTAGTAGATGTGGGTATTCACCAGAGTTCGTATTTGCGTACCCATGAGCGGCTTATTTCGGCTCATTCTGCTCACGGCTCATGAGCCGGCAATAAATTCTTTTCATACGATGGGTGACGCTCACGAGCGAGCCCAACTACAGAGCTCTCGCTTACGAGCAAGAGCCGCCATTAAGTTATAAATGGGCTCACGCTGGTGAGCAGCTCTTCATTATGAGCCAATTATGGGCTCATTGGCTCTCGCTCTGGTATTCACGTTGCAGTTTTTCTTCGTTTTTCAAAACGCAGGTCAGCTAACACTGCAAACTAGTTTTCAGTGGAAATATTCTCAATTGCAAAATTATTGCGATTGCATCATTATCTATCAATATTTAGGCAGTGTGCGAATTCTATTAAATTGAGGTAAAGTAAATTGAAATTTCCTGAGGATTTTTTGCACTGCACTTACGTAAATATTTATTTATTGTACTTATTTATTATTTTCGGTTAAAAGTTTTCAAATTTATTTATGTATTTATTAAACATCTTATAAAATTTTCACAATGATAATACCTAAATTAACTAATTTACCCTACTCGAAATTCTGGTAAATACCAACATTCGCTACCATACCGACATAATTTACTATTTCCCTCAATTAAGTCGAACTCGCACACGGCCTTAATGGGTTTTAAGTCTATTTTTTATGACTTTTAATGTTCAATTCACACATGAGCTTAACTTACTCATTTTACACCATTAACCACAAAACATCGAGATATATGTACTTAAAATAATGAGCAGCTAAAGCGCTGCTTTAATATCTTATATTCTCCGCATACAATCCATTACACTTTATTTGCATAAAGTCCCAAACACAGTTGCTTCTAATCGAATCAGTTTGGAAATGTAAATTTTTGTACAAATAACAACTTTCGTTACTCCTTTTTATTTTGTTCACTTCACTCCAAAGCAAATCTTTTTCCAATCACTATTCAATACTATTTAAGTACAAGTATGTGTGGACAGCTGTTGAACATGCCTTGTCCACTAGTGCTAACGGTTTTAGTATCAGCACAAACAACAACAACTCCAACAATAGCTGTTAGCAACTAAAGCGATGATTGCAATTGCAAAATTACTTTAACAGAAACTTTTTGCTGAGATCCAGAGTGGATACTTGCAAGGGAGAAAACAGCACAAAAGTGTGCATCAGAGCAAATAACAAGATTTGGCGCTTGGTTTTCGATGCCAATGCATCAATCCTTTTTTTGTATTTTTTATTTAAGTTTGTAATAAGGACACCCAAAAGAAATAAAGGAAAACTTTCGGTTTATTGATTGAAGCAGAAAATTTGATCATAGCTTGGAAAATAAAGTTGAATGTGTAATTAAAAAAAAATGTTTGCTGTGCCACGAAAATTCTTCATTGAAGTATTTATTTTTGTTAGTTTAACATCAGTTCTTAATAAAAATTCCTTTTATGAGGAGCAGTCAAATGGTAATATGAAAAAATTGTAACCTTTAATAGCACTTATCTATCAATGGCTTTATTATCATTGTGCTGTTTTACTAATGCTTCCTTAACGGCGTTTAGATATTTAGTTACACTTAGTTTTTGTGAAAATCCGTTTGGATTCTCTGCTAAGTGCAAAGCATGTGCTAAAAGTGGTATTTTACGTATACTTCGTCCACTTAAGCCGCTGCTCTGCTCTACTATTTCCTCAATTTGCTGTTTATAGCCAGGAAACAATTCTACTTCTTCCAATATTTCTACTCGCATCAACTCTAGAAGTACTGTTTCATAGATTTTCCTGATGGCTTTTTTGGTGGGCAAACCAATATATTGCTTTACATCAGCACGATCAATAAACGCGTCATCAATTGTCTTTGCAAGATTGGATGTAGCTAGTATTAACACATTGGGATATTCCTTTATACTATCTAATTGTGTAAGCAAAGCATTTACTACACGCATTGCATCTTTAGGTTCCTGTGAAGACATCGAATCACGAGCAAAAGCTAGCGACTCAACTTCGTCGATTAACACACAAACTAGATTATCTTTATTCACAACGATTTCACGTATCTTGGAAAACAAACTCATTACCAATTTACCACTTTCGGAAAACCACTTAGAAAATAAACTATGACTGTTAATTTCTATTAAATGCGTGTGACGATATTTCTTTACACTTCTTATAGCAATTTTTTGTGCTAATGCTTTGCAAAGGCTAGTCTTGCCAGTGCCTGGTGGTCCGTGTAACAATATAAGACGATTGCAGGCTATCACATTTTGATTAACATTATGTTCCGAAAATAATAAAGCAGAAAATGCAAAATTCAATAACTGAAATTAAATGAAGTTAATACGCGTAAGACCGAGCTATTTATATAATCACCTACTTTTTCTTTTAGTCCCTGCTCATAAATTAATGTTTCCCACAAACCAACAAAGGCTGTTGATGGCAATATCCAGTGATGAAAAGTTGGCACAGCGTCCATATCACCTTGGCCATCTATCTCAAATAACTCAGTTTCCATAGGCCGATTAATGGCCGAATAGAAATGAAAAATAAGATTTTGATCGATATTATCTATTATCAACTGTTAAGTGAAAAAATAATAATTAATAATGTTGACACTAACGACAAATTAACTCACTTCGTCTTCTTCAGTATCACAATCAATATAAACAGATTTAACTAAATTCAATTTATTATTTTCTAACAAATTTGATGGAAAACATTTGTTTGGAGCAGGCTTTTCAGTTTTAATCATATCCGTCAGCAAAGTCTTTAACGTGGACTCCTCGGAAGCTGTTGTCCTACAAAGGATTTCATAGATTAATAATAACAAAATAAACGTAAACTTACCTATCACATCGCACGAACTGTACCTCCACATGCACAACATATCTTTCAGTACCATTATTCATTTTTAAAGAAATAATTTAGAAAAAATTTACAATAAAATATAGTAAAACTGCGTTTGCTTTAAAAAGTTGAAGTAAGCGCCAATATGAGAGATAATTTATAGCTTCGCAGGGTTGTATTTTGTGGTAATATAAAAAAATGTTTAGAAAAAGTATTAATTTAGGAACTGTAGTAATATCTCATGGTTTAATTTTTTTTCGAAAAAGAGTTTTAGATTTGTGCTTACTCATATCAGATATATTAAAAATATTTAAAAAATTCGATATTTACAGGTCTAGTGAAAACAAACTATAATTTGATTTTATAAGCATTTTTAAACAATATGCAAGCAAGCACTTCTTTTCAAGAAGACAATACATCTCATAATTTAAAAAAATTTTAGATTTATTTTCTGATGCTTCAATGTTCAATTTTTATCATCAAACAATTATCAAACAAAAACAAATACAAGTAGAGTATTTAATGCTTTAATGAAATTAAATTTATTGCAGTACGTTCCACGAATAATTATATTATTTTTTACAATAACAAAGTCATTCATGTTATCGATTGAAATAAAAAACAACACATTTTGGAGACAAACATCGAACTCAAACTCTAGTTTAATATTACTGATTGAAGAGTATATTAGTTTAAGCGACATTAACTTTGAATTTCTGGTAAAACTGACAGCTCCTTCATAATGCACCACAATTCATCGCATAATCGGATAAACGACAACATATGAACTTTTTTGGTTTTTTTTTATTATTTTGTTTTTTTTATTTTATTGTTCATATCAAATGAAGTAGATACTATTAGCCAAAAGTAAATTTGTGTTAACACATTAGCCACATTTCAAATAATTATTATACAATCAGTTATTACAAAAATATATATAAACTGAAGATAACAAATTTTTATAGAACGATTTGCCATTACCTATAGGTAAAATAATAATACATTTCTTATTTAAAAAAAAAGTTCGTTATTGTTTGTTGCCGCCTTTGTATCGCTTGTAACTGGCTAGCGATTCTAGTTGATCCCAGGACCACGGGACCCAAAAATAGTTACCCTATAATATACAGCGTATTGTAGAAGTTTTTGAAGCATTTCGCGTAATTCAGAAAAATATAAATAGGCACCACACACAGATCAAGTTGCAACTCATTCTTTTGATATACTTTTCTCAGAAGCAAAGTACACAACACGCCTATAAAAAATATAAACAATAAAAGTATATCAATAAAAAATAATTGTTAAAATCAAAGCATTCTTGCAGCTTTAAGTTATGGAAGCGCAACATTAATAATATTATAAATGCCCCCCCGACACAAGAATATAAGGTGAAACACAATCATTTGTAGAAATAAAAAAACCCAGTGCATTGCTAAACCACACATTTTACACTCATTTACATTTACAAACAATAGATTTTATTAGTTAATTCTTAATTTTAAGCATCTGAAGTACCCAATAAGGAAGTTTTAGTATTTAATTGTTGATTCTAAGAAATAAGTATTAAATTTCTTATGTGCGAAACGTCTTTTCGGATCTTTTTTACTATTAGCTGGCGTTAAGTTTGACATAAGACCTGCTTTTTGAGCCATTGTAACCATCATGGCAATTCGCTTTTGTTGTCGCCGACATAAGCCTTTTAGTAAAAGAAGACATTTAACAGATCGAATAAAATTTAAAAATTGTATATCTACCTGTGATGCGCTGGGGTAACATACAACCATCTGATCTTACATATTGCGATAGTATAAGCACATCAGTATGTTTGATTTCTAAGCCCAATGTACATTCCGGACAAAATTTACTCTGACAAACCTCTTTCAATAGTTTCTGAGCGCGCGGCGATGGTAAATTTACACCTTCTACTACCAATGCATTATTTTCAGTTCGTTCGTTTACTAAAACGTAAATATATTAATTAGCAAATTAAAATAAAAAAAGAAATGTTGAAAGGTTATGAAACGAATGAGCACTCACTTTCTTTAACTAAGTACGGTACTGTTGTATTAAAATTTCTACTCGTTATTATGCCTTTAGGAAAAAGACGAACAGTCCTTATAATTACTGACATTACTTTTATTTATATAACTAAAGTTTATGTCAAGAAATTTAAAAAATATTAAACACAAATTCCTCATGCAACAAAAACCGCAACAGCTGATTTCCTATTTTCAATTTATGTGAGAATTCACAATAGATTTACTCAAATCAGAGAATAACTTTATTGCTATGTGACTCCTCACTACTTAACTTATTTATAGCGTTATATTCATATACCAATATGATGATAATTATTAATTATGAAGAGTGGAACTACTGAAATTTATTTTGTAATTACATTGCTTTGAACAAAAATTTAATATACTAAAATCGCAATTATTCTGTAAATCGGTTACATTTTGTTTGCAATAAAGATATAACGTAACTAATGCAAACGATTAATTTATATCTTTAATCATATTAGTATATTTTTATATAAAAATGAATTATACCATTTATACTTTGTACTAATAGTATGTTCCCATTGCCTTCATTAAACCAATTCATTTAATTTAGCTCCCATAAGGGAAATTACCTCATACATGTCGAATGTAATATGGCGTTTACACTGGCAGAAAAAGGCCATTTGAAAGTGTTTACATTCGTTGTATTTAATTTGTTCTCATTTTAAACAGCTGATTTTTCATCTTGTCTGCTGAAAATGAACGTCATTCATACAGAATGTGATGAAATGAATCGCATTCGCGCTTGATATTTTGTATGCAAGAATAAGCCATTCACTTCTCATTTTTAATTTTTACCCAAAATGAGCCATTACCGGTCAGTGTAAATACCGTATAAGACTGCAAAACATTTTTTTCAAATGAGAAATTATCAATTTTTCACATATTTATCACATGAAAATATATATAAATAAACAAAAAACTAGAGGTAAGAATTTTTTAACAATTTTTGTTGTGTTATAAATAATATATATAATTGGTATATAAAAATATATAAATAAGTTAATATATCAAATAAATATTTGATATCATTATACAATATTATATATTACTTAACAAATATGAAAGAAACACATATACAAAATAGTGTTGTCACAATTCGTTTGTGTATATTTCGTTATTCGGTTTCTACTGCTTCTATAAAAATATATACAATAATTAATAAAAAATTTTTATACATATTTTATGTTGCTAAATACGAAATTCTTTATGAAATGAAATAAAATTAGCTTAATTTAAAAATAGTTCACATATTCTATTTCAGTTTGTATTTTAATTTTGATAGAATCATTTCAATTTACAACTCAAGAGTTGGCACAGTATGGCACGGACTCATAATCATGTGCGGCAAAAATAGTCCACGACTATTTTCAAGCATCAGAGGAAAGTTGAATTGGAGTATGTTAGGTGGATATAATAAGTTATACCATTTGTATAATGGTATAATATATATAATTGTCCCATAAATGTCATTGTAGATGCGCATACATGTATAATGTAATTATCTTTTGAACCCGTATATAGTTATTGTGAATTTTTTAAAATTCTCTCCAAGCAGAGCTAAAATATTTTCTTCTTTTTTTCGCTGTTTGTCTTGTTTCAACTAATGTATGCTTCCACTTTCAGAAAAATTCTACACATTTTTATTTGTTTTTGTTTTGACTGTATTTATTACATATTTGGAATCGCTCCAATTTATTATTTTCTTTCAACTGTAAACTCAAATTATATGTTTACTTAAATGTATTTCTAAATTAATCTTCTAGTTTGCTTGTTAATATATCGTACTACTTTTGCAATACAAATTTTAGAAGTATCAAACAAATTTTTTTTCCCTAAACATGGAAATTATTTAATCTGGCGTTTACACTGGCCGAAAATGGCTCATTTGAAAATGAGTTTACATTTGTTGTAATTCATTTGTTCCCATTTGTTTTTTCAACTTGCCTGTTGTTTTAATTTTTTGCATAAAATGTTGCATGAAGGTTAAATATACCTTCAAACCTTGCAATACTGAAACTGAAAACATATTTTTTACTTCAATTAATTAACTTTTGAGAAGCAGAAATTCTAAAAAAAAGTGTATCGTTTTCAAGGAAATGCAACCACCAAGCATTTGTTTACCTTTTTTTGTAAATATGTTAAAAATAGCTTTATCAAACTGTCAAAATACCATAAAAAGCTTTTATTTAGAGTATGTTTAATGCATTCCTTTACATGTGGAACATATTTGGAACACATTCGACCCTCCTTGGAACGCATTCATACAGAATGTGAACCAATGGATATCATTCGTGCTTGAAATTTTGTATGCGAATATGACCCATTTACTTCTCATTTTCGAATTTTGACTGAAATGAGCCATTTGAGGCCAGTGTAAATGCCGCATAATAAACTTATCATATAATAAGGTACAAGACGTACCATTTTATAAAAAATATTCTTTCTAAATACATAATGTTACATATAAAATATATTCGAAACAGCAGATATGTTACATTCTTTCTTTCGTTAAACGCAGAGTCCATTGTTTGAAGAATATTAACATTTTCCGATATAACTTGACTAAAAATGATTTATGTTACGTTTGCACTTTAATAACCGCAGACCTGAGCAGATATTAAAATATTGCTCTAATCTAGTTTTTAGATTGTAAATTAACAACAAAGAAATAAAATTTCCTTTCGGTCAAAATTTTTTTAACGATAGTGTCTTTCTCTGCAAAACTGCAAATAGCTTTAAATAAACTAATTAATTGTTGAATATCTTTCTACGATATATTATCTAATATTCATTGACTTTTTTTTAAACAACAAATAAGTTAAATAAAAGTATATTTCAAATTTGTATAACAGTTATTGTGAATGTTTCAAAATTCTCTACAAAATTAATAACCAAGCAGTACATATTTCGAATTTTGTTTCGCCGTTTGTCCTGTTTCAACTTACGTCTAATTCCGTTTACAGAAGCAATCTACACTTAAATTTCTCTGTAATTTATCATTATCCGTTTTATTTTTGACAAGTTGTGTGCATTTCTTCCAAGCAGGAGGTGAAGAGGTTATATTTTATATTTCGGGTCGTGCTAAATTTTTTTTTGTTTAAACTGTAAGTATTAATATTAATTTTTTCAAATTTATCTATATATTTTTAATTTAATGCATTAATATTATAATAATCTTATGTGTGATGGAAGAATGTGAACTAATTTGTGAAATAGCAAAGTTCAAATAAAATGTGCGTTTGCACGCTTTTACGCATAATTTGTAGATGCCTTTAAACGTAATTAAATGAATATAAGAATTTAAATTAATAAGACTTAGAGGAACAATTTACATTTTGTTAAATATAACAAATTTTGTTGTATAATTAAGTCGCCACATTTTCAACAACGTGACTCATAGTCATATAATTTCTCTTTGTATTGTTCAATAATCAAACAAAGACTACTTTTTTGAAACTTTAAAACTAAAGTTTTATTTATTTAAAAAGGTAACTTATATGTGAATATAAGTCGTAATTGAAAATAAAAGAATTGTGATTTTATTCTATAAAAAAATGGTAGGTTTTCTATATGCGTTTCTGAATTTCAGTATCAAAAGATTACATACCTACAAAACCACTTCAAAGTACAGTTAAATATTTGCCCTCAAAACATTTTTTTTTTCGCATTTGAAACGTTATTGATAACGAAAATTTCAACAAATTTATACATATTAAATTTTATGTGCCGTTAACATAATTTCATCATGATCATAATTTTCATGCACCCTATAAAAATAGTTAGTATTATGAACATTTAATACTTTAAAATTGATATGACACAAGAGGTATAATTGACATAAAATATTCATTGTGAAATATTTTTTTTTTTATATAAACTGAGAAACTATTTACATATTACACACACATTTTGTTTTGATATTATTATCTCTCAGCGAATTGAGGTCAATGTGTAGTTAAGAAAAGATTCCATTAATCTGTAGTATAATAAAAGTATACTACAGTCACTAGGAATTTTTGTCAATCTTTGTGTTGTAACCATGTCCGTTAGTGGGATCTATAAATTATATAATAGCTGTAGTAGAGAGTAGATATAACTTAAGGTATAGGTGGTATTATTGAATATAGTCCATATTCAAATGAAGAAATCTGGGCACAAATTAATAGGACTGAAATTAGTTTGTTTGGATATGAAAATAAATGAACATCATTAAAAATAAAACTGTAGTTTTGGCACACATTGGAGATAGATAGGCATATTTATGCATAACAAGTAACTATTTAGCATTTCATATAGACTTTAATTGGTTCTAAACTATTTAAACAAATTTAGTTTAATTCCGTTTAGGACACTATTAAATTAAAAGGATCTTGGATTATATAACAGCATAAAATTTATACCAAATAAGTGCCATAAATAGATTAAAATTTTCTTTTCCTTAAAACAAAAAATAAGTGTCCAAAACCATTTTGAGTTGCAGTTGACACAGTCTTATTTCTAAATATTTCAAAAGAATTACCCTATCTTTACAAAACTGGTAACTAAGTCTTGTCCTAATTTTTCGAATTTTTTTTTTTTAAATAGATACACAAATAGCGTAAATAAAATCTACGTTAACTTAAAATTTTACAACTATTGTAACATATTATATGTATTGTAACATATACAATAAATATTAAAACACATGCCATATACTACATGTTTAATTTTAAGTTACTTATGAAGGACACTATTAAATTAAAAGGATCTTGGATTATAAAACAGCATAAAATTTATACCAAATAAATGCCATAAATAGATTAAAATTTTCTTTTCCTTAAAACAAAAAATAAGTGTCCAAAACCATTTTGAGTTGCAGTTGATACAGTCTTATTTCTAAATATTTCAAAAGAATTACCCTATCTTTACAAGACTGATAACTAAGTCTTGTCCTAATTTTTCGATTTTTTTTTTTAAATAGATACACAAATAGCGTAAATAAAATCTACCTTAACTTAAAATTTTACAACTATTGTAACATATTATATGTATTGTAACATATACAATAAATGTTGAAACACATGCCATATACTACATGTTTAATTTTAATTTGCTTATGAAAATGGAATCGTTTATTTGTTTTTATATACATTACCTAGAAATGTTTTTTTCTTAAATTTAAATACAAAGTTAATTTTTAAATATATAATATTATCTGCAAACATACTTGTCACACATACGTTTAAATAAAATAGTAAGGTCGGTTATGACTTATTGTAGCGTGCGCTACATAAAGATCAACTCGTTAAACGAAAATGGCGTCTTCCTCAGATCGGCAGAGATCGTGTACTTATTTTGTCTTGTCACATTTTTTACCACAATATCGTTTCTTACCGTTCGTTTGCCGTCATTTCATAAAAAGAGTTTGGAGAGTAAAGTGCCGTGCGCATATTTTTTTTATACAAATTATTTGACTTTAATATATTTATTTATTTTTTTTATCTACAAAAAAGAATTTAAAACATAGTTTTGCAACTAATTGTGATATTTATATTTAGTTTTTATATTAAAAATATTAAGTAACTAAAATTAAAACTTTAGCAATTGTGTGCGTGCGTGTCAATTTTGCAACAAAAAAAAACCGGATATTAAAAGAAAGCAAATTTTTAGGTGAAAAGAGGAAATCTGTAATACATTTGCACTTGAAATTCCAACAGTTTAAGGTTAATTGAGTTATTTTACTTAATTTTTTTATTTATAATTTACAAATCGATTATTGAAAATACAAAGTGAAAAGGTCACAACATATTACTTTTTACGGAAGTCTAAATTAAAACTGCTTTAAACAATTTATCATAATTAAATTATATATTTCCGCAGCGTAAATCTGTAAGTTATATGCAAAATATATGTATAATGTAAAAAAATTAAGATTTTTCGTCATTGAATTTAAAACACTTATTTTTACAAAATGGTGAATATTTTGCTCGCCTGGGTTTCGTCGTGTTGACCTGTTTTATGCATATATATATATATATATATATATATATAGTATATAGCTAATATATGAAATTTCTCTTCGTTTTTTTTTTTTTTTGTTTTAAATATTTTAAATAGCTTTCACACTTTCTACTGGTAAATCTGAACACATGGCACAAAGTGGAGTCGACTGATATCAGCAATCAATACTTTGAGGTTAAGGTTCGGTCATACGAGTCGAAAAATACCCAATGATATTTTTCAATAAATAATATAAAACAAAATTATTTATTAATTAGTCTACAGTAATTATTAATAAATAAATAAAAAATTTTAATATCTTTTACACAATAGTGTAAAATTTTTAAGAACATATCAGCGGCACCACACATGGATATGCCAGATCTATATAGAACTGGTGCGCGACATATGTTGAACACACCACAGAACAGAAATCAATATCTCTTATTGAAGCAATAAGAGTGAGAACGGTTGATCCCTTTGTCCAAAACATGACAGAAAAATTGTGTGAAATTCCTTTTCAACATTAACTAGATATAATATATTTAGGAAAAGATCATAGCATAATGAGACGTAGACCTATTTTGAATATTTAAAAAAAAAATTAGATCACTAACATATATAGAATAACATATTGTACCAGTTGAAAAGTAATAGATGTTCTATAAATTCGTATATTATGTTAACTATCTAAATCTCGGTTGGGGTATGATTTTCTTCACCCATATTTTAACTGTGAATTTTGTAAAGATCAGCAACAGTGAAATCGAATTGTAGATTGGATTACATTATATTTATATTTCATAACCTTTATTATTAAGACTTATGGTATCTAGAACTAAGTATGAGTTGTAAAAAACATGAATGCGTTACTAGACTTCGTGCAGTGTGCGATAGATAGGGAAAAGGTTGCTAAGAGAAATATATGAAGAAGAAAGGGAGTCTTACATAGGCTACAAGACGAATTGTACATATTTGCTGGTATATTCCCTGTTAAAAGTGATGAGCGACATTTAATCGTATTGAACGACAAGTTAGACCATAAAGTAGACACTTTTTATGGTCACTTTATATTTGTAATTCATTTCATTCCTTCTTGCTATATAAATCCATATAAGCTCCAACAACAAGAATAATATGAAAACCAGGGTGAGAATAATATGAGAAGGTATATTGTGCGGTATGAGAGAAAAATATGTGGACGTGGGTGTGGGTGAGTGCTAATTCAGATAACGTCAACAGGGACAGTAATAGCAATATCAAACATCTACATAATTGATGTCTTCTTAATGCAAAATGCGTTTTATTTTAGCTTTTAAATTCTCTCTATATATCTAAAAGTTCATAAAATTTGTCTTTGATTTAACTAGTATTTCAATTATTTGAAATTTATTCAAATCTACAGTTTATGAAGGTAAAAGTTAACTAAAAAAAGTTATTTGTGTTAAAAAATCACTTTAAAGATGTGATATTTCCCATTGCCTTGAAGGTAATTCAACAATTGGGTGAGCTACCCTTCTTAGGTGGTGTTAGACGAGTGGCTTGGGGAAACACTGCAGCAGTTGTCATAATCTAATATTATGTTCGTTGTTATTATTATACCTTTTTTTCTATTAATATAAGTTGATTCAGATTGATAAAAATTTTTTTCAAACAAAATGATTAATATTTTTCCATATATTTATTATTTAAAATACTTAAGTAAAGATTTCAAGAATTAAAATATATTTACGTATTATTTTTATTATCTTTCAGCAAATTATTGTATGAGTCAGAAAACTGAAAGACCAGTATTATCAGGTCAGCGCATCAAGACCAGAAAAAGAGGTAATATTTTCGAATTTATTTCTATTTACATATGGGGATTTTTTTTAACTTAAATTATATATCATATATATCAATAGATGAAAGAGAGAAATATGACCCAACAGGATTCCGTGACGCGGTCATTGCAGGTCTTGAAAAAACTGAAGGTGACTTGGAGCAAATATCCAAATTTCTAGACAGCGCTGGTAATAAACTTGATTATCGTCGTTACGGCGAGGTTTTATTTGATATATTAATAGCTGGTGGTTTACTCGGTAAGTGATAATAATGTAATACAAAAATTGTTGCAAATTTAATTAATTTTTGGTATTTTTTTTTTAACCAATAGTCCCTGGCGGTTCAATTTCTCAAGATGGTGAAAAACCACGTACAAACTATTGCATCTTCGAAGCAGAAGAGAATATGGAAGCTATGCGTCAGCATGAGCAGGTAAATGAATAATTACTGATGAAACATACAAATAAACAGTGGCAATGTTAGGAAGCGCTTTTATCAAAACTTCCAGCGCCACTTTTAATAATTAAATCTGCATCTAATTAGAGCCAATTATTAAGTTACAAATTATAATAATAGGTGTCACATGTATGCTAGACTAAACGAAACATTAAACTTGACTTCGTTTTAAGCTAATAATATCGCATATCGAAGATTTCAAATGTTTCAACAAAAATTCTTATTAAAATATCTTTTTTTTTATTTGTTTAAAAATTGATTATTTATAAGACGAGAGTTAAAATAATTTAATTAATTATATGTTTTTCATAGATATTCGTTTATCTCATGCGAAGATATAAGTACCTCGAGAAAATGTTCGAGGAGGAGATGAAGAAAGTGTTGGTCTTTATTAAAGGGTTTTCTCCAAGTGAACGAACAAAACTTGCGCGTATGACTGCGCTTTGGATAGGTAAATATATGATTTGAACTAAAATTTATATACATATAATATGTAAATGTATGTCAACTAATGGGAATTCAGTTTCTACGAGTTTTGATTTGTAGAATCTACGTTTAAAGTTGACATAGCATATTTTTTGAACGCACAAACTTTTGCTTCAAATAACTAAAGCAAGAGTCTTTGTTCAAAAACACTTATTTATTTTTTCAATAAACGACAAAATACCAACTTTTGGGAATTCAGTTTTTACAGAATTCTTAAACTGTAAAAACATGTTAAAAGTTGGTAAATAAAATTTTAAATGTACTGACATTTAAGTTGTATTAATGATATAAATGTCATTGTTTTAAAGACATAGTAATTGATTTTATATTTATTTAATTAAAGCAGTGCTTATGGATACTTAACATATATTAATTTCTTAATTTTTTTGATTATTTTATTACAGTAAATGGCTCTGTACCACCAAATGTACTGTTGGTTCTAAATAATGAACATTTAATTAAGGACGGTATTGCTCTAGAATTTCTCGTTGAGCTATTTGTTACTTTTAAGCAAGAAAAGGGCATTGCATATCTGGTACAAGCTCTAAAAAAAGGTGGTCTTGAAAGCAAGTAAGTAGTTACAATATAAATAAAATACAGTATTTTATGATTACGTAGTTTGTCATTTGTCATTTGCACACACGATCCTGGCATTCGATTATAACTCCAAATCATTGTCATTGGAAAAGTTGTGCTAGAATGAATCAAAATGATTTTGGGTGTCTTGATTTCTAATTGATAGAATTTTTAGACAATAATCATAGTAACATTTAATATTATTTCTACCAAATTGAATGTTGTACAAGAGATTTTGTTTGTTTATATAATAGTAATTAAAATGGGATGTAATTCTGTTTCATTAAAATAATTAATTCAATTCAAATAAAGAATTAGTCTTTGTTTATTGTTACAGATATAAAAAATTATTTTTAGCTTAATTCAATCAAAATTATTAACTATAATGCTTTAGTTAGATATATATTTTTTAGTTTTATAAAACAATCGTAAGCGCCATTAGCCTCTTCAATTTAGCACAATATATTTTATAGTTACTGCTATATTACATTCACATAATCGTTAGTGTTGTTGTTGTAACTCATAATGGAAGAGCGGTGAGAAGAATTGGGTTCTCATAGCTACGCAATTTTGGCCGCACATAGAACCATAGCGTTTGCCAAAATAGTTGGTGGTGATTAGTTTCCAAGTGTTAGGTCATATCCAATTTGTTAGGAAAAAATAAAGTAGATAATAAAATATATCTGCATCACAATAATGAGCTTTAAAATGTATTATAATTAATATATTTTCTATACAAATGTTAAAGCCAAAATTTAATTAAAAATTAGACAATTTATTTTTCAGTTTTTATAATTACTGTCTGAATTTTTAATTCATATATGATGTTTTCAATAACTTTTCTGAAAAGTTTATATTCTAAGAAGATAGTTCATACATATATTGTGTTAATAATTTTAGCTCTATCACCGATTACCGATATCACCGATGATTAAGTTACATTCAAATCCATTTTGGACAAAACAAAAAAAAATAGTAACATTTAAAAAAAACGGATCAGTAGAGGGATCCATTGTAAGAATAAAGTGTTGTTTAGGTCTGTTAGAAAATCAGCTTTTCTAATTTATTTCTGAAAGTTTGTGTTAAAACAATAATAAACAATAAAAAAACAAATTAAACCATCTATAAAATAAAATAAGATTTTTCAATATTTTAGATAAATAAACATTAAATCTTTTACAAACATTTGCATATTGGAAGCACGGAAAGTTTCAGGAAGAAACTTATGTACATGAATTAATTTCTTTAATTAACTTTCCAAGAAAAATTGGTCTTATATTTAATTCGCAAATAAACGTGCTTTATTTGGGTGTCGATTTAATTCCAAACAAGTTTTAAATTTTCTACAAATTATACAGAAAAAAAAATCACTAAACTATTCAAATATTTATTAACACTTTCTCCCTTACTAAATCCTTATCATTTAAAATACTAATACTATTAAAACACTAATAAAATATATATTAATTTACTTGTAGACTCATGGACTTTTTCCCACCAAATAAACGCACTGAAGATTATTTAAAACAAGTTTTCCTTGAAAAGGATCTAACTGAAATAATAAAACTACACAAGGCTCAGGCAAGCCAAGAAGCAAAACGTGAATTGCAACAAACTTTAATTGACGACATTAATGATGAAAAAGCACACTCAGAAATAACAGCAAATATCAAAGATTTTGCACTGAAATCTAACATTCCCGATCATGAAGTTATTATAATTGTAAGTGTTCATTCTTCATTTGTTTTAAATTAACTAAACTATACATTGAATATATCTAAAAACTAAGGGCGGGTACGATAAACCCGGTTAAATCATTCTTTAGTTAACTTACGTATTTTCTTAACCTGTGGATGCGTCCATTAACAACTATTTATTCACTATGGATAGTTAACCATGGTTATTAAAAATTATAGCAGTTATTGTTTTGCTTTTTAACTAGTCTTAAATTTTAAATTATATTGATTAGAAAATACATCAATTCATCGGTTAACCAGTACTTGAAATTAAGCGGAAAAAAGGTGAAAAAACCGATGCTATATATGAATAGTACTATTAAATATAAATCATGAAGACAACTCTTTCGCTCGTTGATTCGCGTATACAACCAGTGCTTAACATCAGAATAAATAAAAGGTATGCCCACAGTTCAAATAAACTACACTCTTTCGCTACAGTAGTGGACAACTCTCAATGTAGTTCACTTATGGCGTAGAATACAGTAGTCAAAAAATAAGCAAATCATTTAAAGAAAAATTTCTGTATAAACATTTTCAATTATTATTTTTGTTAAGAGATGTGGACTGCAACTGTCAGATCTATATTGTGTGGTCTTCTGGGTTTAGTGTAGGTCTCTCAAGCTCTTCCGTGAGGGTATATATTCACAGGAATCTATTCCGTTTGTGCATTAGCGCAGGGCATTCTAACAGCACATGTGTGACTGATTCTTCATTCTCTTTGCAGAATCTACAGTTTGCATCCGTATATATCCCCAGTTTTGATAAGGTGATATTTTAATTTACAGTGCCCTGTTAGGATTTCTGTGATGATTCTATGTTTTTCCTTTGACAAATCCGCACACTCCTGGTATCTCTGATTGTTATAGGTATCAATAAGTGATTTAAATTGTTTTAATCCTGGAGTAATTAATCCTCAGTAATCTTTTTATAACTTTTCAATGTAAATAGCTTAATGTAGAAATCTTCCATGATAACTCATTTATAATAATTTCTGCATTTTTCAGATTTGGTCTACTATAATGTCACTCGGCGAATGGAATAAAAAAGAAGAACTTGTAACTGATCAAGCAGTAAGGCATCTAAGGGGCTACTGCCCACTTTTACAAGCTTTTGCTTCAACTGATCGATCCGAATTGGCACTTATATTGAAGGTGCAAGAATTCTGTTACGAAAACATGAATTTTATGAAGGCTTTCCATAAAATAGTTTTGTTGTTTTATAAAAGTAAGTTATAAACAAATTGACAATATTAAATTTTATTTGTAATTAATACTGTATTTTATATTTTAGCTGACGTACTTTCTGAAGAAATTATACTCAAATGGTTCAAAGAAGCGCATTCGAGCAAGGGCAAGATGCATTTCTTGGAACAAATGAAAAAATTTGTTGAATGGCTACAGCTCGCTGAAGAAGGTGAGTGTGAACTAATTAATTTTAGAATTAAAATTAAAGTGTTAAGCAGAAGGCAATATTTTGAGAATAATTTTGATTAATAAATACATACTTATCAATTTTGTTGTACCATATTGCCAGACTAATATAATTTGTTTTGCTTGCCTAATTATTTTTTTACTATAGATACATTAGGCCAATGAAAATTATGACAAAATAATATTAAAACTATTGATATGCATTTCTAAATTTTAAAATTTAAAATTAATTGTTCTCATAATTATTTTGAAGTAACTAAATGCTAGAAAAATGTGCATTAATTTTGGGTGTCTAACTTCCTAAAATTTCATGGATTCGATTAGACAAATATTAGTGCTACATATCACAAATAGAATATCTAAAAAAAGGAATAAAATAGATTTGAACAATTACTATTAGATTTAATTTAATTATAATTATATAATATATATATATATATAAAAAAAAGTCGATTCAAATAATTAATGATTTATTATTTTTATTTTACAGAAAGTGAATCCGAAGATGAGCAAAAAGAAAAGGAACAATTTTGGCAAATATCTTAAATATGTAAAAGAGTTTTTTTCGGCGAAACATAAATTTAAGTAACAGTTCTCTATAATAACACTCAACCTCCTGATTTGACGAAAAATAGATTTATATAATTAATTCTCATGTAATAAACCAAACCGTTAAAAAAAAAATCGACTCGCTATATAGTTATATCATTTATATATAAGTTGTGTAAGTATATCTTTAACAATGCATGAATTTAAATGCAATTATTTATAATATACACTAATATATACAACACCGTATTTATATAATATATCTATATGTATATATATATATTATATAATAGTATATTTATATAAATGTTTCAAACAAAAGCTATTCTAAAAGTTAATTTGAATTGTATTTGGGTATTGTTCAATAATTATATTTAAAAACAAAAACAAAAAATAAAAATAAAATTCCTTTTGGATGTTATATAAAAGAAAGAAAAAAAAAATACATTAATTTTTAATTATATAAATTGCCAAATTAACAAAAACCAACCAAAATCCGTAATCAATATTAACCAACAGAGTTTAGAAAAGGTTAAAGAACTTTTACATATTATGTTTTCTACTGATATATAATTTTAATTAAATGAGATTTTATGAGAATTTTAACTGAACAAATGCTAAAACACCGTAAGTTCATCCATCATAAATATGTAATTTATATATAAGAAATAAAAAACAAACAAAAATTAAAATATGAAGTTAAAATATATATGTAAAAATATTGACTAAATTATTATATGTAGCGGAAAAAGATTTTAAAAATAAAATTATATGCAGAACAAGCATAACATATATATATCGTATTCTAAAAGAAACAAAATAAAAATAAAATTAACAATTACAACATACATATGAATCATAAATGATTGGTTTTATTTTATATATAAGCTAATAGAAATAGAAAAGCTGTTTTTTATATTAATAATAATTATAAATGATTTAGTATAATCATATCTTTTGCGATCAGGTTATAATGGTAAAAGTTCCACATAGACTTTCTAAGATGGGTAGCATTTTTAGAAGCTTATAATGCCAAGCATTTTACTATTTCTCTCCTGAAAATGAGAGAAAGAGAGTTGCCTTATAATAATTAAGAATTTTGCCTTTGAATGAGCGCAACTTAAGTAGTGCAATAAGAGCAAACGTGCCAAAATGGACATTAAATCAAAGCAAAACAGGTTATGTGATGTTATAGTTCAACAACTATTAGATTAGAAGACTATCTGTATAGTTATAGAAGTAGAATAACTGATCCATAATATATGTAATTATTTCTTGTTCCAAATAGAAGACATTTTCTCTTTAAAACATTCAGGTGAATAACTCCTGAGTAAGTTCCAAATGAAGCACAAACAATAGAGTGATGTTTACAATGTTTGGTTAATGATAAACTATTTGTAGACCTATCTATAGGATAGACAAGTTGATATAGCTTAAATTACAGTTACTGTAACCCATCACGTTTAATTGAATAACCGACGAGGTCCATATCTAGATACAGTACGACCTCGCTTTGCGTCGTAGATACGTTCCAAAATATCGCGACTCAAATTGAAACAACGCAAAGTGGATTGCTGTTTTCTATTGGAAATCATAAAAACAACGAAGATACGTTACCGTATTTTTCATTCAGTCCTTAAATGTTAAAAAAAGAAGAATATTTAAATAATAAAGCAAAAATAAAACTTTATTAATTCGTTTAAAAACATAAAAAAGACTAGAAATTCAACCAAAAATTAAAAATAGATATAAAAAATAAATAAATTATAAAATTACTTGCACTTCTTTCGCTATCAGGACCGTTTTTTGAAAAAATTTCCATTGCTTCGTCAATTAGATTCATTGCTTTAGAAATTTGCTGTGAAGTTAAATTTTGACTCTTACTTATATCTAGCGAGCTGTCTTCTTCGTTAGCGATTTTCAAATCCAGTTGCATCAATTCCTCATTAGACATTTCTTGGTTATGAGCTAGCAATTCATTTATGTCCACTTCATCCATCCCTTCAAAATTGGACTCTCTTGCTAAGTTAGCAAGAATTTTCTGAATAATAATAAAAAAACATCTCATTTCGCAATCGCAAAACAACGCAATTCGAGAAAACAACGACTCACAGCGAAAATAAGTCTTAAGGCTCAATTAGACGGTAGGTAACGTAAGAAATTAATTCGAAGCGAAATGCACAACTAACCAAACCTGCGTACTTGATAGGAACGAAATAAATTAAAACTGTGTACTTTGTTTATTTCGTTTATATCAAACACACAAGTTTGGTTGGTTGTGTATTTCGCCTAGAATTAATTTCTTACGTTACCTACCGTCTAACTGAGCCTTTAATTCAGTAACGACGCAACCAAAAACAGAAATAAGACATGTAATTTGCCTCTGTTAAAAAAATCAAGAATTCTGAACAGGTACTCGGAATGGGTAAACATGGTGTCTGCAATTTATTGACTTTTTTAATAAATATTCGTTATCAAATAAATTTTGAATTTGTGCGGCAGTTATTGTGAATGATTCGAAATTCTCTACAAAAGAAATAGCCAAGCAGGACACACTTTAAATTTTGTTTCGCTATTTGTCCTCTTTTAACTAACGCATTTTTACTACTCACTGAATAGTCTACACCACACATTCTTTTTTTGTAGCTTATCAGTTTTTGTTTTGTTTGTGATAGTTTGTATTTATTTCTTAAACACCGTGACATTTTTTTGCGTTGTTTGATCTGCGATTACAAATGTTAATTGTTTAATTTCTTACATTTTTAAATTAAGAATCGTTTAGTTTGCGTGTTTTAACATTTTAATAATCTGGTATATTAACTGGTAATATTAAAGAAGCAATTGACGATTCTCCTAATTACATGTTTTGTTTTGATATGGTTTTTTTTTGGATGAATATAAATAAATATATTTATTTGGAATTAACATTTTCCTTTAAGCTAGTCAAAAGCATTGTTTAGAATTATGTTCGTTTAAAATAATTCAACCTTCATATATTTTAAATATATATATAAAATGAGTTTATTTGTTTACTATTGCAATTGTTTTATGTTTCCCCATATATGAAGATTTGTGGATTTATATTTCCTTTCCATTTTCCAATCACACACACTAGGCATTCAAATTTCTTGTACCACACTCCACGGACGATTAAAATCACTTAAGAAGTGGATAAGTACGGTAAATGAGTATGTGCATTGATAATTCTAACGACCAACAAAAGTAGTTATTGCATAAATATTTTTACCAGTTACTGAAACGGGTTCTTAATTAGAACAGAAGACATGTATAGGTATCATAAAGGTAACAGGTCCTTGAGTGTTATGATCTACAATTACTAGAGACTCGGAATAAATTAAGCCTTTACTGGGTTCCGGGTCACAGGGGAGTTTTGGGAAATGAACAAGCTGATAAGTTAGCCAGAACTGAATCAAAAACTGCTTTCACAGGCCCTCAACCGTTTTGTGAGTTAAATTGGGCCACTACAAAACAAATTATTAAGAAGAAGGAAAATCATATGTTGCTGGAGTACTGACAGAAGAATTCTCAGGACTTAGACAAAGCACTGATAAAACCGTACTCCTACAAAAACGTCCTTAAATTCTCAAAATGTAATTTAACGTTGATAACGGATTTCATTACAGGTCATTATGGCCTGAAATATCACCGTCATAAATTAAAATTATATGCTAATTCGGAGCAGATTATGCCTCGAAGATGATGAAACTACTATGCATATTCTTTGTCCAACTTTAATAACCCAGAGAAGAAACTGGTTTCGTGTGGAATTTCTGTCACCAGAACAGATTAAGAGCTCTTCTCTAGATTTAGTTCTAGACTTCGTTCACAAAACTTTAAAAGGCTTTGTGTAATCAATTGTGAAATTGGTACAATAGGACTCTTCTGGCCGTAGTACCGGCTGTTGTGCGAATTTAGTTGGACAATGCATGTCCACAAGTTAATTAACTTAGACCTATTAGTATTAGTATTTGGCGAGTTTGAAAATTTCACTTCAGCTGTACCCAGAAAAGCTTTAATCTTTCCCAGATGGATATTTGACCAATCAAATTCGTTGATCAATTCTTTGTGGAAAATTTTTCTCCTACATTGTATAGAAGCAGCACACTCTCCTAGGATATTTAAAGATATTTCTGTCTTGCATACATAGTCTGAAATCTTTAATTGCTGTCAGACCACTTGTGGTTAGCTTTATTGGTAAAGTAACATCATATTATGTTTAAACGTAACATAATAAAAATGTTAACAAGTTTCGTTCTTAAGCTATGAAAGTTGGAACAAAATCAACATTATTTATTTTTAGCACAAAATATAACAAAATTGCTTTGTCATTTTAATTTACATAATTCATCGTAACTGAATTTTTTGTACATGTGCTCTTCCTTATTTAGATGTTTAATTTACGCTCTGAACCGATCACGAAGATAGACGTTCTATATGTTCAATTAGGTGTTTGAAGTATTTGCCTTTTGAAAATAGTTCTTTGTATCTGATTATTTGTAAATAATTTTTTGAGACTGTAAGTACCAAGAGTTGAACTTGTGCCCTGCCAAATTTGAAGTCAGAGTCAGTGTTAATTATCCAACTGACCTAAACCCGTGCTTTAATTTTGTGTTCTTACTTAGAGGTTTGTTAATTTATTCTGAAAGTTCATTAACAAATTCAGATATTGTATTATATTAGAACGAAATCATAAGCCAGCTGTAGAATAATTGAAATAATTAATTATAGTTAGTTTTAACTGTTAATCTATAATAATAAGTTCCTTCTATATCAAAATAGAAAATAATTTAAACAAAAAGTTTTACGATTTAAAAACGTATTTTTGCCATAGAGAGCCACTTAACAAATTGCAACAACATAGCCTAATGTTATCCTTCTACATTGTATAATATTCTCTAAAAATTTCTTCAAGCTCGTTTGAATAGCTTCTGATTGCAAAGGAAAATCTTATTAAATAAAATTTCATATCGATATAAATGTGATACAAAGTATAGACGTAAATATGTATTTTTTTGGAATTCAGTTTATTTATGCATTTTAATTATTCTTTAGGTAATTGGTGGCTTCATGTCAAATGTTATTAAAAACCAAAGATGAGTGAAATCTCGGAAAAAATTCGATATGTCTTGCAATTTTACTTTGATAACAGGTGGAACGCGTCGAAGGCGTGTGAAAAAATTTGTGCTGTATACGGTGACGATGCTCTTTCGCAATCAACTGCCAGAAAATGGTTCGCACGGTTTCGTTCGGGAAATTTAGATGTGAAGAATGCTCCTCGCTCTGGTCGACCTATCACAGATAAGGTCGATGAAATTATGGAAAAAGTTCAAATAGACCGACATATAAGCAGTCATGACATCGCTAGGGAATTAAAGATCAATCACAATACTGTTCTAAACCATTTACACAAAGCTGGTTATAAAAAGAAAATCGATGTCTGGGTGCCCCATGAACTGAGTGAAAAAAGTTTAATAAACCGAATTTCTATATGCGAATCACTGTTGAAGCGGAACGAAATTGAGCCATTTTTGAATCGAATGATAGTAAGCGATGAAAAGTGGATCACATATGATACACGTAAACGTTCTTGGTCAGAAACAGATGAAAGAGGAACATTACCAAAGCCAGAATTGACGAAAAAGAAGTTAATGTTATGTATTTGGTGGGATTGCAAAGGTATTATCCATTACGAATTACTACGGCCTGGTCAAACGATTGATTCGAATCTGTACTGCCAACAATTATTGCGATTGAAAGAAGAAATTGAGAAAAAGAGACCGAAATTGATCGATAATAATCACGTTGTGTTTCATTATGACAGCACTAAGCCACACACATCTTTAATGACCCGTCAGAAATTGAGAGATCTTGGCTGGGAAGTTTTAATGCATCCACCATATAGTCCTGACATTGCACCGTCAGACTTTTATTTGTTCCGATCTCTGCAAAACTCTCTCTCAGGAATAAAATTGTCTTCGGAAGAGGATTGCGAAAAACACCTGCATCAGTATTTTAAAGATAAAACACCGGATTTCTACAGAGAGGGAATAATGGGTCTACCCAATAAATGGCAGAAGGTAGTGAGTAAAAATGGACAATATTTAGACTAATCGAAAATATCTTTAAAGTAAATTTTAAATAAAACAAAACAAATAAAACACTAATGGACTCAAAATTGATGTAAAATATGATGTTAAAGAAAGAATATATGTGAAATATATAAATTGCTAAATTAAAGAAAGCTAACCAAAATTCCTAATATAAAAAACAATAACGTTTAACACACTGTAAAAAACTAAAACGTATTATGTTTTCTATGGATGTATAATTTTTATTAAATGAGATTTTAAGAGAATTTTGACTGAACATTGTAAAGATTTAAACATTGTAAATATATATGTATATATATGTAAATCATATAGTTAACTCCTATATATAAAACACAAAATAATTCTTTTATTTTAGATTAAAGCGAAGGGAATTAGAAGTTTTTTTTTATACGTGAAGTATTTTTTTTTGTACCCTGAAGAGAGCTACTGTTTTTTTCTCCCGTTAGGAGAGGGACGTTTGAACTCTATATATAGAATAGATTCTGCGATAGATGACATTTACACTGTCAAGTCCAAAATAAATAAAAATAGTGTTAGTATTTTTTCTCATAAATTAGGTCTTAGCATCTTTCTTCGGCAACCAAATTATTGTGTCTTTCAGGCAGAAATAATAACACAAATGGGTCTTATGCAAGAACATCCTCGAACAGTCAAGCTGCTATTAAGTCTCTAGTAAGCTCTACTGCTTCATCCTTAATAGTTCGAGAATGCCGAGTGTGTCAGTGTCCAGCTCAGAAAGGTACCTGAATATGATGATACTTCGGGTAACTGGTTAGTCACTCTGCTCCCTGACACTCATGTCTCGGAAATTGGAATCCCAGTTGCAACGACCAAGCCAGCAATTAAAGTATGGCTAAACAAACTTTGGCAAATAGTCCCACCTGCACTACGACATCAATTCTGATAGATCTCACTGCTTTAACACTAGGTTCAGCCGGAGTCGTGTGGGTTTGTGGATGAAGAGGAAACTATAGCAAATATAAGAGTACTGTATGTACTGATCAATATTTTTTTTTATATTTATTTATAATTGC